ATGATCCCTGGCAATAAGCTGGCAAGGGCAACTTTGAGAAAGGGCCCTTAATGGAGAAAGGCATGCTCTTCTTCACTCCTCCTCCCCCCTCCTGGCTGCAGGAATACGGGTGTGATGGGCAGAGCGTGAACAGCCCTCTTGGTATAGAAGGGTAGGGGAGAAAGTTACTGAGGATGCCCCAGCAGAGGCCAGACCTGGCTCAGGACCCTGCTCACCAGCCCTGGGCTGCCCACCCTGGACTCCTTTTGTGGGAGAGGGAAAAAAAGCCTCGTGTATTTTAAGCCATTGTCACCTTCTATTCTCTTTCAACATGTGTGGCTGAACTTAATCCTACCCAGGAAGCCTGCTGTAGAGTGGCAGGGGGTAGTGGCAGCAGGTGGGATGAGTGGCAGTTTGAGGCATTTAGATGCCACAGGTCAGAATGATAAGGTCCCCATGCAGGCTTGGCATGGGCACTGAGATGGGGAGAGAATCGAGGCTTGTGTTGTAACGCAGACCCAGTATCTCCCAGGAGTGGCACGGAGGGAAAAGCTGGGAACCAGAAGCTAAGACTTCAGAATGGGTGTGGTGGGAGTGGGGCATTTGGCAGAGGCCGGGGCTGAGGAGGGCACAGTATGGTGTGGACTCCAGATGGGGCAGCCCTGTGACGGGCAAGGGGGAAAGTCACAGGGAGTAAGGGACAGCCTATTCCAGCTGCAGGAACAGAGACGTGATGGCCGGAGCCGGGACAGCATGCTCGGTCTGCAAGGGGGTAGGAGGAGCGGCCTATAGACCCACTATGTACTTGTCCATGGCCCTTGTGAATGGGGGCCTTGGGGAGGGGGGGTAGAGCAGGTGCCGTGTCCACAAAAGCTGAGGGTGCAGAGCAGTTTGCTCACAGTGGGACTGTGCAGACACCGTGCGGAGGGAGCAAGGTGCAGGAGACGCAGTGGTGGGAGCCAGGGTTTGGATCTGCTGGGGAGGCTCCACCCACGCACTCCCAAGACAAACATCCGGGCAGGCCTCTGCCACCAGAGAGACCTCCGATTCCTTCTCAGCCTGCCTCTGAGAGCCCGATACCCTTCAGACAAACCCGGGTTCTCATCCCACTCTGCCATGTTCTGTGTCCGTGACCCGTGAGCGTTGGTTTCCTTGCCTGTGAAATGGGGAGGAAGAAGCAGGCTGGGTTGAGGCAGAGAGTGTGGCCTGTCTGATGACCGTGCAGGGGACAGGTTCAGAGAGGAAGGTGGGGCCAGCTCGGGCAGGACTTTCGGGCCAAGACTGGGCGTTTGCATTTATCATAAACACAGGGACTAGCTGGGAGGTCTTAATGGGAGGAGGGGAGAGTGAGGGGCAGGGAGATGCCCTGATGGCTGGGAAGGACTGTTCTGGCTGCTGAGTGGAGACAGGCTAAAGGAGCAGGAGCCAGAACAGAGGGACCAGAACAGGGTGTGGCTACTGAGGACCTGGTGGGTGGAGATGACGCGGCTCCCATCACGGTGAAGACGTGGGCTCGGCACCGAGACTTCGGGCCAGCCTGGCACCCTGTCCCACCTTCCTCGCCTCCTTCCATGAGTGAGAAGACAGAGACAGAGGGCACACTCCCCACAGGCTGTCCGCACACGATCCACCCCACCTCAGCCAGCTCCAGGTCACGAGCATGCGCACGGCAGACACACTCAGGGAGGTCTCCAGATGTGAACTGGGAACCTTTCCACGTGCGCCAGCCTCAGACCACAGCACTACCCCTGTACCCCCGGCCGGCCGACCCCTTTGCCTGGCTTTATATTTATGCGAGACACCTGGGGGACCGTCTGTGTTCAGGAAAAGCCCGTAACTACTGGCCCCAGGGCCCTGGTACAACAGAACTGACCCTCCATCCTGTTGCAGCCCAGTGCAGATTGCCTGTCGGGCAAGGGTGAGGACCTGCCCCTCGGGCTCCATCATCCCTAGGGTTTAGACTCCTCCATGAGCTTCTTAGGAGGGGGAGAGGAGCGAGCGAGGAAGGGAGAGACAGAAAGGATCCGAGGGGAGTGTTTTAGGCCCGGAAGTAATGATAAATCACTTCCTCCCATACCCCCTTGGCCAGACTCACTCCCGGGAGCCCACCTGACTGCAGGGAGGCGGGAACAGGGTCTAGTGTGCCCAGGAGGCGTGGGCCACCCCCCCCTACATGTTCCGTCAGCCATGAGTTCCAACATGGAGGACTCTAAGATTGTGCAGATGATAATGGTCTCTGCTTGCAGGGCCCCACCCCTGCCTTTCCATCCCAGGTGTCCCTGGCTGGGCCTCCACCAAAACCTGGGGTCAGACACTGAGCAGGGGGCTGGCCCTCCCCTGCTTTCCTTCCCCTTGGGAAGTAGCCTCAGGTGCAGGGGCTGCTCCAGGGGCCTGGAGGCTGGTTAGAGGCTGCTGTTTGCTTGCCTTGGGCTCCTCCTGGCCTGTGGGCTTCCAGAGCAAATGCTGAATGAATGAAAGAAGGAGAGGGCAGGGAGGCAGGGCGGGCAGATGCCACCCAGTGGACAAAGCGGCAGGAAAATGTAGCTGCTGTTTCTCATTGGGCTCCTGGCTTGGCCTAGGGATAGCTTTTCTGTTTGCTTCTATGTAAATTTTTATAATTATTTATTTAATTTTGTCTATTATTATTATTTTTAAATCTGCTATAGGGCATGAGTGAGAGAGCAAGTCCCCTGGTCTGGGACTTGAACCGCTATGGTCAGCCATAGTGGGAGTCTAACGCCTTAACCACTATGCCACCGGAGCTTTACCCAAATACATTTATCTGTGGTGAGGGAACACTTGCAGGGTAGAAAAGGGATAACCTGTTCCTTACCTGGCTTTCCCCCTGGGAGAGCCAGTGTTCCAGAAGGTTCTGGGGGCCAGCAGGTGGCAGAGTGGTTAATGTGCTGGACGCCCACATAGCTGACTGCGGTTCAAGTCTTGGATCCAGTGACTTGAAAATCTTGCTGGGCCCGTGTGCGTGCCTGCCCCAAATCCCAAGGAGAATGGAAGAGAAGGGACTGTGGCATGGCCATCCCCGAGGGGGTGACCTCTCACTTTCTCCCTGTGTCTCCAGTGAATGTACGCACCCTACGGCAAGAACCTAAAAGAAAAGAAGCAGCTTCTGGAAATACTGTTTCCCGAGTCCTGGCTGCTGTTCTCCGCGTGTGGCTGTTGCGTCTATTACCCTCTCCCGTGGCCAGAAAGCACTCCTCTGGGGCAGCAGAGAACTGAGGCGGAGGAGGAACCAGCCTTCACGTGAGCCTACTGTGCGCGGCCATGTTAGGTGCTTCATACACCCTATTGCTCAGTGTCGGGGCATCCCCAGCCCCTTGTATGACAGGTGTGTGGGACTGGAAGGGCCAGGAGGCCGAGGTCACCCAGCCGCCGGGCAGCCAGGAGTTCAGAGTGCTGTGGCATTGCTGCTGCCTGCCCCAAAGCTCTGGGCTCTGCACAAGGGAGTCTGGCTTGGGCTTGATTCTGTTTTCAGGGTTTTCGATTCCAGTTTCCCATTGTCTGTGCAGACAGGAGGTTGTGCAGGGCCGCCCTCCCCGCTCCCTCCGCCCTCTCTGCCCCCTCTCTGCAGAGGCAGCAGCTTACAGCCGAAGCCCTGGGAAGCGGGCCACGCAGCCAGGGGGAAGGAAGAAAGCAGACATGCCCCTTCTGGGCCCAGGGTGGACGAGCCTGTGAGTCGCACACAGAGACATGCATTTGTCTGAGTGGTCCATCGCTTGTCATTACTGGAAAGCAACACACACACACACACACACACACACACACACACACAGACCCAGGCCTGCACCAGGGTCAGGTGTGTGGCAGTGACGCGAGGCCCTGCGAGGCCGACCACGCGGAGAGGTCCTTGGTTCTCGTCAGAGACCTCCTGAACATGCTAAGTGCACAGCAGGCACGTGACTCGGGCTGAGCATGAAGACCCTGTCAGGGTGCCTGTCTCTCTCTCTCTCTCTCTAATGGAAGGGAGAAACACATAAACTTAGCAAAAGGAAGAAAATCCCTGAGCTGAATTCCCCTAGCCTGCAAAAGAAAGGGAGAGGAGGGACTAGAAACAATGCCTTGAGAGGACGAGGAAAGTTCTAGAATGTCCGGTAAGTGGCTGTCAGATTGTCTGCCCAGGCCTGATAGCTGGTCACCTGTGAATGCTGAACTGGGTTAGGGGCTTCCTAGAAGGCTGGGTGGAGAGAGATCTCTGAGAGGTGGGTATGTCGCATGCTGGGGGAGGGGGAGGGGAGCTGGGACACCAAGGGACCTGTTCATGGCGGGCCTGGGTGTCAGTGGGTGTGTATGACCGGATGAAGGTGTTAGAGGCTTGGAGTGGCCTGGGG